ACAATGGTTTTGATGTGAATGCCTTCAGACTTCAATTCTAATCTACCCTTATTACATTACATTTTGGATTTATCTCCACCCTTCTCCCCCAATGGGGAACTCTGGGCAGCTCACAAAGTACACCTTAACCATTATAATTACAATTACACCTATTCTAATACAACTACAGTGCAACCCTATTCTATTGTGGCCACCTTAATAGAGTGGTTGTAAGGGAGTCAGCTCATCCAGGCTTTTCTCCACCGATGATCTTTTCTGCCTGTCGCATTAGTCACGTCCAACATCCGGCATTTGTTGTTTCTGCCGATCAGGTCCAGCACTGGTTCCAGCTTCCCCACGCAGGTGCTGCCGGTTCCTCCCACTGAAATGGGAGCACCTATTTATCTACTGCTTTCAAACCGCTAGGTGGGCAGAAGCTAGAGACGAGTGACGGGCACTCACCCCGTCACATGGAGCAGGCTCGAACCGCTGGAGTGCCAACCATTTCTGGCCGGCAAGCTCCGGAGTCATTAAGCCCCTGTGCTACCACATCCCCATTACTGACCACCCATCATACAGATACATACTCACATATGTACCTGTAATGTGCACATACCCTATTTTCTTTCTTCTTTCTCTTTTAATCTATATTCAATAATTTTCACATAATCTATATTAGCTTTTTTTGGTCTCTGGCCTTATAGATAAAGTATAATATGTGTAAATAAGATTACTCATTTAGTTGCAATGTACTGATATGAACAATCCTTGTGATTACAGATGACAAATTACAGATGACATGGGGATATATAAATTGAAGATGGACATGAGAAGAAATATAAATCAGAAGATACTTATGTAGCCAGATATTATCTGGTGAATCCAAGGGATATGCATTTAGGGTTGTGTGTTCTTTAAAAATTATTAAGAAGAAATATTTTAGTACTCTCAGAAGTGAGCTCAGCATCTCTTTGAAGGAACTATGTCTTTTTTCAGGTTCATGCAGTGAAAAGTCCTATAAGACCTTAAAATTACTTAATACAGGTGAAACTGGCAACTTGATGACAGAAGGTTATGGAAATAAGCTACTTGATTTGATTAAATTACAAGTGCTAATTATATTAAAAGCATGATGCACTTTTTCACTTTTAGAACTATTGGAATTAATTGTTTGTATCAGTGTAAAGTGAATTCACTGGTGTTCTGCATTTTTAAAACCACTGAAGAACAGAATCAATATAAATTTTATTTATAGCTCTTATATTAGAACGTCATTTCATTTTAGAGCCCAACAGGGAACAGCTGTCCCAACTGTGGAAGACCTTCCTTCCTGAAGTGAAGGCAACCTTATCTTGCTTGCTTTCAGAAAGTCAGTTAATAACACACTTGTTTGCTAGCATCTGAAGGCAGAATATGCTTTACATCTCACCTGAGCATACAGGTTTGACATACAATAGTCTATTAGTCTGAGTTTTAAGTTGTTGATGTTTCATTTATTTTATGTTGTTGAGTTCTAATTATATTTATTGACTCTGATGGTTTGTTTTATGGACTGTGTTATTTTATTGGACATATGCCAGAGTCCATGGATATGGGCAGGGTATACATAAATTAGATACATAAATAATTCCAATATGCAAATTTTTAATAAAACATTTTTACTTATTTGATCTTCACAGACTCAAGAGATCATTGCTGATGAAAGAGAGGGAGGAAAAAGAGCAAGAATGTGCATATTCAAGTTTTCTGACTTGCTATACAGTTCATATGTCCATTGAAATTTTAGAAGATAGTTAAGAATTTTGCATTAGTGGAATAGAATTGGTATTTTACACAATGTGAAGTCTCTGCCAAGGGGAAATACAATGAGTGGAGAGCTATGTAGGAAGGCTTCCTTGGATTCATTGTGAATTGCATCCAACTTCACAGGCTTGGTGTTGCATTAAATTTTAGGGAAAGGTTTTCAGAACTTTTTATTTATCTTTTTTTAAAAAAAATGGGAAAGAAAAAGAAACAGCAGGAGCCAAATGCCTTGAGTAAATGTTTGAAGTAAAGCTAAAATGGGATTATGTTACCCTTTGATTAAAATCGTTCAGGGAAACACTTAAATATATCAAATTATGCTGAACATATGCAGCAAAATTTGAAAAGCATAAATATGTTGTGATACAAACACTCAGAACTCATAATTAGGGTAGCCAAAATAGAGTACTTTGCTCACAGTCTGAGGTAAATAGAATACTTTATAATATTTTCTTTAATTTAGTACAGTTTGATTGATACTTTACTAGTTTAGCACCAACATTTTCTAGTCTTGTAACAGATCATTATTTCCACATATCCTGTGAGGTGACAAAAGATTTACAGTATGGTCCTAAACACTTATGCAACTCTCTCAGACTAAAGTGAGCAGGTTTTTTTTTTCTTTCAAAACAGTAATTTAATAATGAAGTGCTATGAAAATGATGGTGTAGTGCTAATCATTTTCTGGAAACAAAGCATGCAAGAACAAGCACTCACAAGTTGGGCTCAAATCTTCTTGAATTTCAAGCCTGTCTCCCAGCCTTGAGCTTTCCACTCAAGGTAGAGTTACAACCTCACAGTCAATCCACAGGATGGCAGCAGGAGAGGTGGCAGTGACAACAAGAGAAGAATTTAGAACCAGGCTTAAGTTTTCTACCCACAGAGTTACTCATTGTGCTAACTTCTTCAATGCTTTGTTAAAGAAAAGTTGACCAAAACAGTATGTGAAAATCATTTGAGGAAGAACAGAAAATATAAGATCACAGTGTAGGAATCATTAAAAGACAATATAATGCAAGATAATTATGAAGTCTTCTTCCAAGTTTCTAGAACTTCAAAAGCAAAATATTAAAATGTTGCTATGGATCAGTCAGGAAGTGAGAAAATGGTAGCAACAAAGAATGTGGTCAAAGAAGAGGGAATGGCATTAAAAATAAAAATCATTTGGGATAAAACTGAAGTGAGAGAATTCTGAAGAGAGTATTTTGGAGATTTGTATGGGAACAAGAATGATATATGAAAGAGCAGAATTGAACAGAATGCTATAAATGTTAGTATCCAAGAATGAATTGAGAAAAGAAAGTAATAAATGCTGTGAGAATGTTGGAAAAATGTTAAGACTGCAAGTAACTGAAGTGTGTAACTGAAGAAAGATGCAGATATGATGGGGTTTCCTTATGGAACAGTGCTGCAATTTGTTTAATATTTGTTAAATACTGCATCTAAACTTGAAGATTGGAAGAATGCTTGTTCCCTAATGCAAAGGGAGATAGCAAGAATGGATGTAAAACACAAGGGGATTAGTTTGTGAAATATGACTGGGAAGATGTTTGGATGAATTCTGATTGAAAGGGGACAATGTCCAGAATTTGGGAAGTGCACAGAAACTTTATTCCAAACAGAAATTGGGCAGACCAGATTTTTTTTTCTCTTCAGCATTAAAGAACATTTATTGAAAAGAGTGTATTTAGTTAGAGAAAGGATATAATATAAGCTTGAATTATCAAATGATTTGTATGAATTCAGAGTTGAAGTATGGTATAGATAGAAGTAAAGCATGTGCAAGAAAAAAGTTGAATGCTTAGCAAATAGCTCAACTTTGAGCAGGGAATAAGAACCCTATGTGAATGTCCTCCTAATTGGTTGATAGACTTATGGATGATTGTATACAGGATGCTTGTGGTAACGTTAGAAGGTGTGTTTGTTGGAAATGTGAATGTACGTGCACTTTGTATACAGATGATACTGTGTTGTTGGCTAAGAACCCACAGTGTTTGAAGCAAATATTAGATAGATGATATGATGCCATGGATCTGAAAATTAATGTATCAAGGATCAAAGTAGATGTGCTTGGCAGTGAAAAAGAAGCAGGCAATAAGGAGGCTGTTGGCAAAGACCATGAGGAGGCTTAAGAGGCAGAAGGGAGAGAATTCCCCTAACTTGCAATGAACCTTCCAGAGCTAAGCAAAAGATATTTAAGTGTTTCTCTAGGTTAGAACTGTCTCCTCATCCCTTAGTATTAAAGAATGTGACACTGGAAAAAGACCTTTCAAAATGTCTGTTTTAGGAAAATAAGAAATCATAAAGAGGGTTAACTCCAACTGTTATGTACCATACTTCAAAAGGAATTTGGCTTAGCAAATAAGATTAATGGGTAGTCTTGCCAACTGAAATGCCATATATCATCAGTTTTTGAACCATCCTTCCATACATTTTTTTTTTTCCTCTACAGCTTTGAGGATATTCAAGTCTATGTGGTTAGTAATTTGGATACTGTAACACAA